CTGAAGCCGTGACACTATCTTGAGTCTGAAGATATTAAGTTGCCGGAACATCCGCGTTTTCCTGGTGGGTCCGGAAGTCACAAGGAGTGAGCAGAGCCACGAGGTGGGCTTGTTGTTTCTGAAAAGAAAGACCACAAATCCGGCTCTGTCTTCCTGGCTACACGGTCAGGACAGGGAGGGCCTGCTGGGCCCTGCCCCAGGGACGAAGCTTTGGGATGACTTCCATTTCGTGATCCATCTGTCTCTTTCCAATTTTAGAAAAGTCATTCTCCGGCGCTGAATCTCCAGCGGCGTGTGATCTTTGCTTTCTGTTGTGTTGCCTTTTTCCTATTGATTTGCAAGCTTTCTCCATCATGTTATAACCGTGTCCTTGTTTGGATCTGTGGCGTGAATGCGTCCTACTTTCCTGGAGTTCCTTTCACTCTTCCTTTCATGATGATCACTCGGTGTGTTCCCATACGGCACCCTGGCTTACCACCCAGTTCTGAAGACGCTTCCTAATGGGTTCCCATCCGGAGGTTTCATTGCTTCGCATTTCGTTGGCACCTGGGTCTGCAGTTCCTCGGGAAGAGATGTGTGTCTACCTTGTGAGGTAGGGACCAGCCTTCCGCCCGCCTGGCTGTCTAGTTGGCGGCACCGTCGGTGAGAAGACCTCTGTTTCCCGTGCACTGAGCCGGCTTTTCATCAGCCCGCCATCTGCATCTGTGCGGCTTTAGCTGAGGGCTTTATTTTTTAAAAGATATCTTTTTATTGATTTTTAGAGAGAGGAAGGGAGAGGAAGATAGGGAGCATCAATGAGAGAAACATCAAGATTGATCGACTGCCTCCTGCGCGTTGCCTGTTGGGGATCAAACCCACAACCAGGCATACACCCTGACCCGGAATTGAACCATGACCTCCTGGTGCAGGGGTCGATGCTCAACCACTGAGCCACACCAGCCGGTTGCAGGGCCTTTCTGTTCTGTCCCACTGGCTGTTTGTCGAGGTTTGCACCAACTAAACGTTGTGTGCATTGCTACAGCTTTGTAATCAGGCATGATATTAAGTAGCATAAGATCTCCGTTTGTCTTCTTCAACCTGGTCTGGGATGTTCTTGACCCAGACCATCTTCCTCAGATCTATCTCAGGAACAGACACCCGCACACTCCGCCACGGTTGACTGCCATGTGCAGCCAAGCCAGAGAGTCCCCATCGAAGAACTTGGGAGAAGTTTGCCAAGTTCCTAACAGGCCCCGTGGAAAAGTCTACCTACTGATCAAAAGTGACTCATTCTGCAAAATGCATGGTGCTAATTGGTCCCCAGAGACAGCCTGGGCGTTATTCCCTGGAGAAAATCTCCTTGATCACCTGGTTCACCATGACGGCCTGTCACCATGAGCTGCTCCCAGCAGACACCTCTTCTCTTCAAGGCATTCGTTTACTTCCTTCCGTTTATCATCACGTCTTCCCTCTCTGACTCACGTCGAAGTGAGAATTGCTAGGTAAACCAGGAAAGCTTTTTCCTTAAAGACCTTTCAAACCCCACAGCTTTAACATCCACTTGCTACTGAGTTATTGTTAGATTTAGATTTAGTGGAAAATGGGCTTCCTATTAGTCCTTTGGTTTTTAAGCTCATAAATCCCTTTCATTAAACCCTTTTTATGAAGATTTAGCGCACTCCCACGGCACTTGATAATATCGCTGTGAACAGCTCGAGCTCACCGAGAGCTACTGTTATGAAATGGGTTTTAAGAGCACAACGTCCTTGGCAATCATTTCCTGTCTGAAGTGGGAGAATGAAAGCCTGGATGACACTTGTGCTCAGGTACCCACACTACGCGCAATCAGCCAAGTGTCCCGGCTCTCTGGAACTTTCTTCTTCCTACCGTCAGACATTTCCACTCAGGTCCTTTGCCCATTTTTAAATTGGCTTCTTTGTGTGTGTGTGTGTGTTGAGTTGTAAAAGTTCTTTATATGAATTTTGGATATTAATCCCAAAGAAACACAAAACACTAATTTGAAAGAATATATGCACCCCTATGTTCATTGCAGTGTTATTTACACCAGCCAAGATGTGGCAACGGCCCACCTGCCCATCAGTAGACGAGTGGGTAAAATTGCTATGGTACCTCTACACTATGGACCACTACTTGGAGGTAGAAAAGAAGGGTCTCGCCCTAACCCGTCTGGCTCAGTGGATAGAGCGTCAGCCTGCAGACTGAAGGGTCCCAGGTTTGATTCTGGTCAAGGGCATGTGCCTTGGTTGTGGGCACATCCCCAGTAGGAGATGTGCAGGAGGCGGCTGATCACTGTTTCTCTGTCATTGATGTTTCTAATTCTCTATCCCTCTCCCTTCCTCTCTGTAAAAAATCAATGAAATATATTTAAAAGAAAAAGAAAAGAAGGGTCTGTTACCATTTGCGACAGGAGGGACCTGGAGAGCCTCACGCTAAGTGAGATAAGCCAGTCAGAGAAAGACAGGCACCATGTGACTTCACCTCATGTGCAATCTAATGAACAAAATAAATGAATAAACAAAATAGAGACTTAACAGATACAGAGAGCAGACAGGCAGCTGGCAGAGGGGAGGCGGGAGGGGGCTGGGTGTGAAAGGTAAAGGGATTTGGAGAAAACACACACAAAGAAACCTCCTAGACACAGACTGCATTGCAGAGGTTACCAGAAGGAAAGGGGGGTGGATAGGAGGGTAAAGGTGTCTTAAACGCTGGTGGAAGGAAATTTGACTTTGGGTGGTGAACACACAATGTAATATACAGAGACGTGTTTGAGAAATGTACATCTGAAAACCTGTATGTTTTTATCAAGCAATGTTCACCAATATATTCATCACATCCTATATAATAAAAGCCTAATATGCAAATAGACCAGCCGGCAGAACAACCAGCTGCTATGACATGCACTGACCACCAGGGGGCAGACACTTAACATGGGAGCTGCCCCCAGCCCTCAGGCCCCAGGCCAGCCAAGGTGGGTACCAGCAGGCCCCCCCCACCCCCAATCACCCTGCTGGTCACCCCACAGAGGGAGGAGACCAACGGTAGTGGTAGGGGGTGGGGCCAGTGAGTAGGTGGCGCCAAGCTTGCCCAGGTGGGTGCCAGTGGGAGTGGGGGTAGGCCCTGATCACCCCACTGGTCACCCCACAGATCATCTCTGATTGCCAGCCAGGCCTAGGGACCCAGCCCGTGCATGAATTTCATGCACCGGGCTTCTAGTTTTTTTATAAAATTAAAAAAACACACACACATATTTGACTGTATTTAAACCTATTGGTGGGAAATGGCCAGATACAGAAAATAAAACCCAGCTAACAGTATTTGGTGGCTACTTAATGCTGATCTCAGACGGAGAGACGTGGGAGTGGTGTGACAACCGTTGTTTTGTCCCCTCCCATGACGGCTGTAATTCCAGCTGACGGTGAGTCAGGTGTGCTAATTTGACAGCATCAATGGTCAGTCTGTCTCAGTTATGGTCTCCACTCGGGTGTCAGCCTAGTTGACCCCGGTGTGGCCCTGACAGGCACATGGGGAGGTAACAATGGGTCAGAACACATTCCTGCAACACAGGGACCAGATTCCGCTGTCCTGAGGCCTGTCCTCGGGAAGTGGTACCTGGGCAGAGGAGGGGGAAAAGCAATAAGCAGGGCATAGCACTGTCTGGTGTTGCTCAGTGGATAGAGCGTCGGCCTGTGGACCAAAGGGTCCCCAGTTTGATTCTGTGTTTCAGGCTTCATCTCCAGTGGGGAGCGTACAGGAGGCAGTCGATCCATGATTCTCTCTCATTGCTGATGTTTCTCTCTCTACCTCTTCCTTCCTCTCTGAAATCAATAAAAATATGTATTTTTTAAAAAGCAGGGGATAATGGCACAAAGGAGGCAGCTGTGGGAATATTTCCCCAGTTCTCCCCAAGGTTAGGTCCTAACCTGCTTCTTGGTGTGGGGGCTTCTGGCACCCAGCTGCCCACCCCATGGACTTATTATTTGGGTTTTGCACCCGATTCTACCCTGGAGTGAGGCGAGGGGTCCCCACATCCACCCACCAACAGGCAATGCTCAGGACACCAGCTGCGGGTCCTACAAGGCATTTGGTTGAGAGAGCATGAGATTCCCCAGGTCAATGGCTCAGCCCTCCAAGACCCACCTCCGCCTCAGAGACCCATGGCCAGGCCAGCCCAGGCGGGGATGCTGTGCCCTGACCAGTGGGTTATAAATCAGGGGTCACCACGGCCCCTCTTCAGGCTCCACCAACTTGCTGGAGTGGCTCACAGAGCTCAGGACCCCCCACTGACTTGCTGGTTCATTACCGAGGGTGTGCAAGGACATGTGGTGACATAGGGAGACACGGGGGCAGCGTGTCCCTTCCTCAGAGCCTCCACCTGGTCACCCACCCGAGGCTCCCCCAGCCCGTCCCTCGGGTCTTCCCAGGGGATCCATGGCACGTCATGGCCATTCCTGCCTCCGCCTTTTCGTTAACGGTGCCCTCAGGGGGACACGTGTCTCTCTTCCCCACACAGGAAATCTCACCCCTGCCAACAGGAAGTCATTGATGGGGTGGTCCCTTATCGTTCTGGGCTGCTCCTTCATGGGGGGTAACTTGATTTCTCTTTACACCTTTCATTTTGAACTAGACTACATCCCAGTGGTCTTGTTTTAGTCCTCGTCTTTGTGGGACCTCAGCCTGCAGAGCTGCAAATCGATAGTTTGCGTATGGTGTGGGTTTCCTTAATTATTCAAAATAACGCCGAGGGGAGCCATTGAGGTGAATTAGCCCTGGTGTGCATGTGTGTGTATGTGTGTGTATGTGCATGTGTGTGTGTGCGCGCGTGTGTGTGTGTGTGTGTGTATAGTTTTATGATGTTTATTTTATTTGTCAACTTTGTTACCCCCAGAAACTGAGGGGCTGAGTTACAAGGTGAGAGTCTGCAGGTGGGCGGCTGGGTCAGGTCCTCGCGCAGGTGGCCTGGTGGGACGAAGCAGCATTTGAAAAGACAGAACTGGTCCCCCATGCGCCACTATGAGCCTGCAGGTGTGGGGTGCGCCCCCCTTGTCTTCCGTGTTGCGTGTCATTCCCTCTCGTTGAGGCCTGGGAAACACCATTGCGATTTCCCACTCAGCGCAGGGCGTCAATATTCACACTGCAAACCGACTTTGCCCCACCTGACTGATCACAAATCGGTCATCATAACATTTGTCCAAAATGGTTGGGAATTAAAAAAAAAAATCACAGATCAACAACAACCAAACTAAGATGCTGGTTTTTGTGTGTGTGTTTCCAGGTCAGAACTGCGGAGGCTTAGTCCAGGGCCCCAATGGCACCATCGAGAGCCCCGGGTTCCCACACGGGTACCCCAACTACGCCAACTGCACGTGGATCGTGCTGACAGGGGAGCGCAACCGCATCCAGCTGTCCTTCCTGGCCTTCGCGCTGGAGGAGGACTTCGACATCCTGGCGGTGTACGACGGGCAGCTGCAGCAGGGCAACCTGAAAGTCAGGTAGGGCTGGCGCTGGGCGGCCGGGGCTGGGTTCCTGGGTGACCGCCGTCCCGAAACCTGATTGCAATGCATAGCTGAGTTCCATTCCGAGCAGGAAACTTTCCTACAGGCACTCCAAAGCAGGATGGAGACTGTAGCTGCACTCACAAGTCTCCCCATAGTTAAAAACCTGACTCCTCATGAAAGCAGCCATTGACTTCATTTATGAGCCTCGAATTGCTCAGGATCTGGTAAACAGTGTTGTCAAGGTAATTGAGGGAACATGATCACACACCATTGTTTTTAAGCAACTGTGGATCTAAGAGAAAAGGCACAAAGATAAATGAGTAAAATCGAGTGCTTATTCAGAGTGCAATTCAGAAAAACACACAAAAGGAACCTTTATATTGTCAGAGAAAACATTCAATAAGAAGAACATGAAAGAATACTGCAATCTTTGAAGAACTTTTGTCTTACACAATCATAATATTCTGCATCCCCCATTGGTTTTCTCTGTTGCTCTATGGTTTGTCCCATGGAGAATGGAAATAAGTTCTGGAGGATTTTAACTTACATTTTTCATTTATCCACATAGAAAAATTGCAGCTGTACAACTATTCCATTTTTTTTATTATTTTGCAAAGGGAAGACACATATCTTTCCAAAGAAACTGGAATTTCTTAGCTAGCCTGATGAACATATTTAAATGGATACATATCTATATATCAAGAGCCAGGGGCTGTCACATCCGAAACAACCAAACAGATGACCGACAGGCTGTGTGGTTAGTGAGGGACGACCAAACCATTGAACAACAGGCTGTGTGTGGTGACCAGGCTGGGAGGGGGGGCAATGAGGGGTGACCAGGCCAGCAGGGGGCACAGTTGGCGGCAACCAGGCTGGCGGGGTCGGGGGCAGTGAGGGGCAACCAGGCAGGCAGGCAGGTGAGCAGTTAGGAGCCAGTGGTCCTGGATTGTGAGAGGGATGTCCAACTGTCGGTTTAGGCCCAATCCCCAGCAGTTGGACATCCTCCGAGGGGTCCCAGATTGGAGAGGGTGCAGGCTGGGCTGAGGGGATCCCCTCCCATGCATAAATTCATACACTGGGCCTCTAGTCTATATATATAAACGCCTAAGTGGCCGTTATAACCGGTGAACCTGGTTGACTGGTCTCTATGAGCACACTGGCCACCAGGCAGCAGATCTCAACACAGGGGTTGCCCCCTGGTGGTCAGTGCACTCCCACAGCCAACCTCCCATGACTGGCCAACCTCCTGAGATCCCTCCCCCTGGACTGGGCGAGACAGCCCCCATTGGCCCTACTCGCTGTCCAGGCCAAGGGACCCCACCTGTGCACAAATTTGTGCACAGGGCCTCTAGTATGCAAATAAAGCTTAATCCCCCAGTTTTAAATGTTTGTATTAATTAGAAGTTAAGTCTTTAACTATGTCATGTAGAAAGTCGGGTAATAGGCAGAAGAAATTGTACTGCTCAGACAGATAACCTGCTTGTCAGTGCCCACTTCAGCAGTAATGCACACCATCTTGTATTTTATTCAAGGTTGTGTGGACCGAGAAGGTCTCTAGCTATAAAATTATGCAAGTATCCCTGTATGTCTAGTTAATATAAATATATATTAACAGTCTATGAAATACATTATATTACTATATTCCAAATATATTTTATTTGCATTTTCTTTTCTAATTAAATTTTATTGGGGCAACATTCGTCCACATGAACATACAGGTTTCATGACATTTTCAAATGTCAAACACCTTCTAGTGTTTTCCGGGCCCTCGGAGGTACCTGCTGTCTGTTTTGAGAAGCAGTTTCCGTTGGCCCTGCCCTCTGTCCTGCACTGCGCACGGTGTGTCCGTGTGAACCAGGTGAACTTTGTCCTCCCCGTCTGACATGCAGGGTCCGCATTCGGTGTTTGGACAGAGCATCTACTTGCACAATCCTGGCTCACTGGAGGCAAGAGTCCCCTCTTTGCTGCTCTTCTAAACACTAGTCACTCATTTGCTTTTATTTTACATAAAGGATGCCGGGAGGGAACAGCGGTGCATTGTAATAATAAAAAGAATTGTGAAAGGAACTGCAAAGAGTTATGATGAAAGAGGGAGTGTAGTTTATTCACTTATCAGGGCAGGCCTGGCTGGGTGCTTTGTGGTTGACACATCACCCCGATAGGCTAAGGTTTCGGGTTTGATGTCCGGTCAGGGCACATACAAGAATACAAGAATCAACCAATGCGTGCATCGGTAAGTGGAACATCAAGCCAGTGTTTCCCTTTCCCTGTCTCCTTCTCTCTCTCTCACTCATCAGTGAACAGAGCTCAAGGCAGATGAGTCCGGGTTAACAGTAACTCTCTCTCTTTGCAGTTCACAAACACACCTAGCAAAGACGTGCTCTTAGAAATTCTTCTTTGTCACTATTTTCATTTCCTAGAATTCGATCCTAGTCTCAAGGAACCTTGTCGTAAATATTAATTTGATTGACAGCTGTTTTAAAATAATGCCCTTTCCTCGTTTGTGCTCATGATGGTATGCTTGCTTTATCCGGTAACGACTGTAAGGCTGAGCGAACAGTGGTCCTTAGCACAGTTGGTGTTATGACGAGGTCAGCGCCGGGAATGTGAGGTTAGAACCGTCGGTTCACCACACGTTAGTGGAGGATCTGGGACGGAGTATAAATGACCCCGGGGCCTCAGCGAGCTTTATAAATATCGGCGAGCTACACGGCGGCACCGTGATTCTTTCACTCGCTGATATTTGTTCCAGAGAAAGCAAGGAAGGCTGATAGGAAAGACACTGCTGGGTTCATATAAATTCCTGCCAACTACAATTTCTCATTTGAGACAGAGGACAAAGATGCCATATTTCTGCCTGTTTCATGTCCTTAAATTAAGAAAGATGCTCTCATCCCTACATGACACTATATAGCTTGTGCCCAGTGGCCTGGCTCCGTGGTTGATGAACCAGGAGGTCACAGTTCCATTCCCCGTCAGGGCACATGCCCGGGTTGTGTGCTCGATCCCCAGAGTGGGGCGTGCAGGAGGCAGCAGATCCATGATTCTCTCTCATCATTGATGTTTCTCTCTCTCTCCCTCTCTCTGCCTCTCTAAAATCAATGGGAATATATTTTAAAAATTAAAAAATCAATATAAAACCATATTAAACCCCCTAAGCTACATAACTTCTCCTCCTTGTCTGCACTTAGAACCCCTTTTGGAGTGGACGCTCCGTGCGTGTGGGAGCGGCTCTGGGCACGGTGTTCACTGGCCGGGCTGCCATAGCACATGGGGAACCAGCTCAGAGCAGGTCCCTCCTGGGCGCTGAGAGCAGGGTCTTCACTCATAAAAGCATGGATCAGCCACGATGGGGACTGGGGGACTGAGGGTCTGAGTGCTGAGGGCGCACACCTCAGAGGGCGCACACCTCGGAGGCCGCAGCACGCCCACATCAGCCGGGCCCGGGACTCAGGACCGGCAGTGCAGCCGCCGCACGGAGACCCTGCGGGATGTGTCCCCTTCCTCCCTGCAGCAGCGGCTGGTCTCTACAGGCAGCTCGCTCAGAGCGCCTCCAGGGGCCGGAGGGCAGGAGGGCCTTCCACGGAGGCTGGTGCAGGCCCCCAAAGCCCTTCCTGAGACGGCCGCCGGCTCCTGCGTGTGTCACTGCTGCTCTGACGTGTTTTCAGCTGCGAAAGGTGTACCGACAGCCAAGTGAACACCAGCTGTGTCTGAAACAACGCGAGCGTTTCTATTACAACGCATGTCTCCTGTCTCGCCACAGGAAGACGCATTTTTCCAAATTACATACGATTTAGATCCGATCCCCAAATCACAAAACATGGAATTTGGAGATTAGAATGATGGATGTTTACATGGTGACTTGGTCTTTACTGAGAAATGGACTCTTTACCCTATTTTTTTTAAAAAAAAAAATCTTTAAAGATAAAACAGTCATGCACAGGTCACGTTGTCGTCTTCGATCGTTCTGTTAGGAGCACACGGAGGCAGAGTGGTGTGCGCCCCGTCTGAAGTCAGTGCTAACACCTGGCTATTGGGAGGCTAACTAAGACCTCCCTGACGCACAAGAAGGCTGTGACCCACAAAGAGAAATAGGAATCTGTCGAGTTACCTGCCATTAATGCCACTGATTGGATGAGCTGTCACAGCACTGCTGTTTTTTTAAATATGTTTTTATGGATTTCATAGAGGAAGGACAAGGGAGAGAGAGAGAGACATCAGTGATGAGAGAGAACCATCCATCAGCTGCCTCCTGCACACCCCACACTGGGGATCGAGCCTGCAACCCCGGGCATGTGTCCTGACTGAGAATAGAACTGTGACCTCCTGGTTCAGAGCTTGATGCTCAACCACTGAGCCACACTGGCCGGGCTCCGGCTGTTGTTTAAATCCCTGGCCTTTACTGACCCTGCGCCTGCTCTTGCTTCTCAAATATCCACAGAGGTCCAACCATGTGGCCATAAAATCCTACACTTTTGATTCTGCAGGATCTGACAGTGTTGTTCTATGGCAGGTGGACCGGTGCACGTGGGTTGACCAGTACACCAGCACCTTGCCGTTCCGGCCCACGGCTCACCCCTCTCTGACCCTGAGACGCTTGCCACAGTCCTGTCTCCATTCTGTTTTGCCTGTAAGAGGAACGTTCCTAGCAAGCAGGGCCCTGATATAGAAGGAACTCGCCATCTCACTGCAAGCGGCACTCCTGGCCTTCCCTCTCGCCCGTGTCTTCCCTCTGTGCCCCGCCCGCGTGGCTGCGCTAACAGACTCTGGTAGCCAAGGCGTCTTGTTTATTTCTTTCTCAGAGCTCTGGAGGCTGGGAGCCGACCAGGGCCCTTCCCATGGTCCATAGGCGGTATCTGCTCAGAGTCTCCCCTCGCCAGAAGGGCAAGGGGACTCTCCGGCTCATTAATTCCCAGCAATGAGGACTCCACCCTCATGGAGTGACCTTGACTGTCCCTCTCTAACTTTCCCCGAATTTCCCCTCAATTCCTGCA